AGTCATGATGGATGTCATTTCAGAACTAAACTGCTGCAAAACAACCTTTTTGCAACACATTTCTCTGAGTTTCAGAATTTAAAGAGCATGACTGGAGGTGAAAGACCCCTAAAGAAACTGTTTCTTTGGTCTGGGCCGTATGGGACAAAGACAACCCCCCCCTTTTTTTTTTTTTTTTTTTTTTTTTTTTTTGCTTTAAGCTGCAGGATGAATAAGGTCCAGACTCAGACTGGTAATCTGTGATAGTGGTCATTTTTCCGCTGGGCCGGTCCTAATTTCAGCATACGAGGGCCAACCCTCCGTAAATCATTGCGGCCCCAACACTTACACTCCGGCTGAAGCTCCTACCTGTGACAGTAAAGAACTCAAGGAGCTCAAAAATTAATCCAATGCTAACTACCTAAATGATGCATGCAGTATACAGCCCTTCCTTGTCATGATCATCCTTGTGACGGTTGGCATATGGTGTCATTTTCATTTTTCTTCAAACTGTAAAGTCTTTGCAAGAAACTACATTATTATAAAACTAAAATGCTTTCTTGAAACCAAACTACGATGTTCCTCTTATATTTTGCAAATTCATATTTGAATATTTAGCAAAAATATGTTGCAGTTCATGATGGGGTTTTGCATCTAAAGATGTTTCCCATCTTACGTTCATTGTTGCCAGGTTGTTGCCGTCTATGGGTAAAAAAATTTTTTCTTTAGATTTATGGCCTAAGAGATCAATTACTTTGGTTTATATTGCGCAAGACTTCGTACATCCTCTTGTTAAAATTTTCGGGCTGGAAAACGTGAGTCAGTGACATCTGGCAACCCTGCTGATGTGGTGAGTGTAGACGTTACCCAGCAGCAGTCACTGTGGCGTCCGTGTTAATAACCAAAGCCAGTAAAACTGCGTTATAGGAGTCTTGGGGATGGTTGTTTTGTAATGCTTGAAGATAGATCGGTTAATCCACAATGTGTATTCCTATTGTGTTTCACATTTAAGACGCACACGTTTGACAAATTCTAGTCAAACAATATGTCTTTTGAAGATTTTGATAATTTCATATGTTTACTGATGGTAAAGACAAAGATACCTGGATGGAACACACGCTACGCTATGCTACACTAATATGTTGTGAGCTATTGTTGAAGTTTGGACAAGCTTTATTTCACTAAGAGTTTAAACAACGATATAACATTAGTGTTCATGTGTTTTACATTACATTACATTTCAATTACCAAATTATGACCAAAAGTCATTGAATGGAATCCTCATGTCTATTCTCTGTTAGCTACTTCAAAGAGGGTAAAGACTTAGACAGATTTTATTTTGTAATTTTGTACACACAAGTGTAAACAAAAAGAGATTTTGTTTAGTACTACTCTCTAGACTTTTTAATTTTTTAAAGTTCAGCCTTGACAAAGGTAAGCAGCAGTGATAAAAAGACAATGTTTTTTTGTTTTTTGTATAACCTATTTTATATCACATTCAGCAATCTAATTAGCCTCATGAGACCATCCTGATCTCGCGAGCTTTCAAGGTTTCACTCGCAGATCAGTCTGGCTACTTTCCGTTAAAGAAAAGTTTTTGTTCTTCTCCTGACTGGTTTCGG